TTTCCTTTCTGTGTAGAATGTGATCATAGCTTATAACTTATTATATAAAATAATTTTAATGCTTTAGTACTAAAAACAACCAAACTAAAGATTATTCATATAACTTGCAAAATAATACTTAAAACTCATTGAGGTGACCCAATAATTAAAAATAAGTGATACTTTTGGGTTAAGTTGATTTTCAGGTGTTTATTCCCAGACATAAAACAAAACATTTCTATTTTCCTGTTTCTCTCTTACAGCTTTTGAGAAGACTAAAACAATGATTCATGTATTTCCATTAATAGTAAGCATCCCATCTACCTTATGGGTTGCACATTGCATTTCAGTACAGTCTTGTCCACTAACAATATAGCAAATTATTTTTATTATACAATCTGGGTAGGATTAAAATAAATAATACAGAAATAATTTAACAAATCTTTATGGAATACCTACTATATTCCAGGTTTGGGGAACATAAAAATAAATAAATGGTCCCTGCCTTCAAGAAGCTCACAGTCTAACGGGGGAGGCAGACGAATTTTAATGTAGTAGACAGCTTTAAGAGTGGTATGTACAAAGAACTATGGGAACTCTATTGAAGGTCACTTAATCCAGAATGGTAGGATCTAGAGATGGTTTCCAGATCAAGAGAGTAAGTTTTACAAAAGGGTTTGCCAAGAAGAGAGTTTGGTGGGTGGGAGGGTGAGAGGAATTTCTCTAGAAGGGATTGCTAACTAGTCCTAGAGACTGCACTGCCTGATCTTCAAGGCCCCTTCCAGCCAATCCTCACCTGCTTGATCCAACAAAGGGAATTTGTATAGAGTGAGGCATCTTTCTGATATTGTGTCCATTTGTTAGATACAGGTTTCCTGGATGCTTCTTTTTTGTGCTATGGAGCACAATTTAAGAAAAAAATGCCATACTAACTTAAAATGTTTTGTAAACACTTTTTACTATGATGCTGACCACAGATTCAGAATGAACAATCTCGTATAGTGAGTACTATACCATCTACTTTTAAGAAAAAGAGAACTAAAATTAAACTGAAGGTTCCTGAAGAGCTATAAACTTAAATCAGGTATATAGCGTTCTCTAAAATAATATATATATTTTTCTTTTAAATGTGAGGAAAACAAAAAGGACCTTAAGTCCTTTGCCTTGGTTATCTACGAGGAGTACACTAGATGGTGCTATAAGGCTGTTAGAAAGAGAGCTTTTACCAAGAAAAACAGTGTGGCAGTTCAAGTGTTACCGGAAACTTTCCATTGTCCCTGAGAACAGTTCCAGGTCTGTAGGCAAGTAATGGGAATCTTAGTCTCACAAGTTTTAGCCTTCTGGTCAGGTTAATTTTAAACTAAACCACAAGTTTAACACATTTTAAAATGGGCTCAATGTTTGACAATTCAATCTGATTCCACTGAAATGGATATTTTAAAGTTATTGAAATATAAGTGTATTACACTCTACATTTAAATATAGTGATTAATTTCATTTAGGTAGTCTTCCTAGTGTTGTCTACTTCCAGTTATGAGCCTAATTATGTCTACTGCTGAATGAATCTCTAATCAGTTTCTTCAAATGGTTTCCTGAATTTTTGAATTACTATTCAGTAGAAAATATCAATCAAACTCTCTTGTCATTAGAGTACTGCAATATGCTGATACAAATACATGAAGCAATACATTTTGAAATCACTCTATCCGTATAGTATTTCCTACATACACAACATTTCATGATTCTTCTACCTTACAATAAAACCAGAAAAATTTTTATGAAAGTGCAGAATAAAAACAGTTTGACTTTCATAATATTTTCTACTTAGTTTTCTTTTAAATGTTAAACATTAAAATGGTAAACAAAAAAAATGAACCTAAGAGTCATTTTTGTTTGAAAGTCTCAAAATTACAAGATCTTTGTAATTTTCTGGCTTATCTTTCCAGTTCTGCTTCTAGAATTTCCCCCCACGTATCTACATCCATTGGGTACATGATTTTTTCTGGTAGGCTCAGAGGAGAACATATGTTGCTGTATCTGCCACTTAGCCATTCGTGTTTCACTTTACTCTTCTGGTAATTCCTCAATAGTATTACCTGAAAGAGGTAAATCATCACTGTTAAAGAATGTAGTAGGTGGTTGGTCAGTGAGTTTGTTTAAAACTAGAGGAGCTGATTGATAGGACTGAAAAGAAGATTAAGTATTTACACTGATACACACACTAATAAATGTGTTGTGTGTGTATGTGTGTGTGTGGGCGTATGTATATGTGTACATATGCAAAGTGAGCCATGGAGTTTGCTGTGAGTTTTGGATAAAGTAGAATGAAGTAGCTAACGGAGGAATGTGCCTAAATTTAGGATTTAAAAAAATGTAAAAGGATGGATGGGATGGTGTGGTTTGTAGGAGAAGAATAATAATTCAACTTCAACTCCAAAAGCCAACACACTCTGTATGCCACTCCGTCTCTGAAATCCTACCTCCTCAGGCAGAAGGTGGGGTTGGCTCAAACCTACCACCATATTGTCAAGAACACTGCAGACTACAAAGACTAAACTTACTCTCCAGGAATATCCACTTTCTAGATCATCATCTATTTCTCTTTGGCACACAGCTCTTAGAGTCAAGCAATGAGGTTTCCACAAGGAGTCACTGTTTCTTACTGTGTTATTCCAGCTCCTGCAGGTTACTGAAGCCCTGCACAAACTCCGAATGTCTAGCTGACTGAAAATTTTAAAAGTAACTTCTGGAGGCAGCAGTTCAACAAAGTTATTTTGACTCTCTTTTTTTTCCTTCTCAGCATCCACAGAATTCAATTCTATGCCAGAAACTCTTGAATTATTGTTCCTCTTGGAGTTTTTCTGCATAGTTTGATGTTTTAGCAAATTATCCTCATATGTAACCTAGAAGGCAAAGTTTAAACATACTCAGTCTCTTCAGATCAGATGACAGAACCTACTCTGAGCCAGATACGTTCTGGGTATGATTGAAAGAATCTTAACTTTCTTGACTTGAGTTTTTCAACCTGTAAAATGGGGCCAATGATGCATCTCTCCTGTGTGTTCCTAAAAGGATTAACAGGGATTATGTGTAAAGCATCAGCTTCACATCTGAATTGCACATGGGAGGCACTCAACGCATGTTACTTCCCTTCTTCTTTTAAAATGTTTTTAGTAAACGGGCTTGTTTCTAAACATTTGTTTTTCTGTTCCCAGAGAACATTATCTAAAAAAGAGAAGTGATTCTTCACAGACTACAACTTGAGTTTAGTAGTAGAAATGACTATTGTGGGAACATATTCGATTCCAAGCATTTGCCAAAAATACTTCTGAAAATGTGTATGATTCAATTCTCTTCAACTCCTAAATACTTGTCTGTGGGAGCTGATGCCTTATCATTAAGTTCTTCATCTACAATCTGTGATTTAATCATAAATCTGATGGACTTTTGTAGGGTATATAATTATTTATCTACTTGTACCTAATGGGTAGGTGCTCACAGATGACATAAATACTATCTGAAATGGACAAGAGGTTGAAGTCCAGGTTATAATGACACAAGGTCTCAAATATTCAGTTCAGTTATAAGATTAGTGGTTTAGAAATGGCCTCTTGAAGCTATCCTACATGCATAATTATGTAACTAACAACAATAAACAATGTTTGTAATTCAGCTAGGTACAGCATATAATTAAAGATGGGTAGGCTTCCAAAATCAGCTGAGACCATGGAGCTATTTTTGCATATAAAGACAGCTCATATTAAAATCAGTTTATTCCATGCTGCACTTTCTTTTGTGTGTGTGTGTGTGTGTGACAGTGCAGGAAGAGGGGTTTGTTAAATGCTTCTTTTTAATTCAGCTAATGATTATTCCCCTTTCTAGACATGTTACTCACCTATGTTTCTGGACTTGCCAAGGCCACAGTTGCTCCCATTCATTTGGTTGTTTATGATCCGAATTAGCTTTGGTGGTTAGAATTTTAATGCCTCTGCTCAACAGAGAACTTCCTCTCCAAGTTTTGGGGAAGTAAGAAAGCAAACTGATAGAAACAAATTCATGAGTCAAGAGCAAGTTTTTGCCACGGAACTCATCTCTCTCACCATCAAACAAACGAAGCCAAACTACTATATTCTTGAAAAAAATTTCATATTAAGATAACATTACCGTGCACTTAAACATTTGTTACTTTTCCCAGAATCTCAATGGTGAATAAAATGCATCTTCTCGTTACAGTTCTTCCCCAGGAGGCAAATGAATTTTTTGAATTTAACAGCTGGGGGTACCTTGGTGAGGTTCCTAAGCTCCCACTAGGCATCTTCTTCTAAGTCCAGTTTTGCCTGGATACCTGGACAACTATCCCTCTTCTGCCCCTTCTTGTTTATGAACCATATTTTGCTGAATTACCTCTCTAGTTAGGTAAGAGCTCGCCCCTTTTCCGGCGTCACAAGGAGGGAGGGATCGGGAGGCAGCGCAGACCAACCCCGCAGGTCGGAAGGAATGACCCCACATCCCACTGAGCCACCCTCTTTGAGGGTCTCGCGCAGTCTGCAGCTGCCCGAGTCCAAAGAACACGGAGCAATGACAAATAAGCGACAATAACCGTCAGCACCGACTGTCACCACAGCTCCTTAGGAGCTGAGCCGAAGCTGAGCTGTCCAGACGTCGGCTAGAAGGGAAGACCCTCCTACCTCCAGGGCCTTGGTAGCTCCTCCAGCGAATTAAATCCTTTGGAATTCGAATCCTTCGCCATAGTCCCTCCAGTCCCGCCCACTGTAGCTCCGCCTTGCTGACTCGGATTTCGTACAGGCGTAGAGAGAAGCGCGCGTTGCCTTTTGGGAGTGGTAGTTTTACCAGGGCGTCTCAGCTCAGCAAGAGAGGAGAAGGAGGCGCCAAGGACTACAAGGCCCGGCATCCTCCACGGCGGTTGGCGGTGAGAAAGGTGGGGGGGGTGGTTAACCCGGGCTTTTAAAAAATAATTTTGAGGCGGAGTGTTGGAAGAATCCCGGCGCGCGTCACTGGTCGGAAAGGGGAGGCGGGGCTCGGACGCGGAGCTGGGGCCTGGGCTGAGCGAGGCCTGGAGACACTCGAGCGGAGCCTGTGCTCCTCCTCCCCCTGCGTTTTTCTGAGGGCCTGCCTTGGCCCCGCGCGTGTCCATGGAAGGCGGAAACGGCTGCGGGGACCGTCTCCTTGCGAAGGGGTGTAGTCCTCGCCGCCATGTCCGGGGGCTTCGAGCTGCAGCCGCAGGACGGCGGCCCCCGGGTGGCCCTGGCCCCCGGGGAGACGGTGATCGGCCGCGGGCCGCTGCTGGGAGTAAGTGTGGCAGGGAGGCTCTGCCGGACCCAGAGAGCCGTGCGAGGTCCTCGTTGTTTCCTGAAGCCCTGCTCCCCGGTTCTGGCTTCCCCACCACGCCGGCCCTGCATGTCTGGATTTTAGAAGTTTGGGAGCAGGACGTTTTCCAGTCAACTTTAATCAACTCACAAACGTTTCCTTATGTTGCCTTTTAAAAAGCACGGACTTGTATTATCATTATTACATTCTTATCCAGAGGTCGGCAAACTAATGTCCCTGAGTCCAAATCCAGCCTGTTTTTATACGGGCCCACGTAGTAAGAATGGTTCTTAAGTTTTAAAATGTGAAATGTAACAAACAAAAAGCCTGCTAGCCTTTCAGGGAGAATATTGGCCCAAGGATTGAGGATATTGTCTCTTGGCCTGACAAGCTACGGTATTTATAGTAGAATCTGGCCCTTTACAGAAAAAGTTTGCCAACCTCTGATCTTATCTTTCCTAGAATAATTTCTTTTAAGCTTTTGGCCTCTTGTCGGACTGCGGGAGCCTTACTTTTACTGTAATAGTCCTTTTCAGTAATATCAGCAGCTAACCCTTATGTAGCGTGTAATGTTCCTGGCGTTGATCTAAGGACTTTACCTATACCAACTTTTTAACCCATTAAAAATCCTGTGAGTTAGGTGCTCTTATCTTCATTGTTCGGATGAGAAAATGGAGCCATAGAGTGGTTATTGAAAGGGCACACATAAGATTTTGGACGCGTAGTGCCACTGAGCTATATATTCTCCACCGTCTTTAGGATGTTTAGGAGTTTGAAAATTTTCCTGTTGCATTCTGGAATTTTATAGGTCTCTACCTCAAACATACGTTGTCGTTTTAACATTCAGCATATCTTTAGTGCCTACTTTGTGTAGCACATTCGCTGATGGTAGCACTGTGGTGTTTGTTACAAAGATGAATGAGATGTGGGTCTCTGCCCTCTAGAAGTTTTCTCTTAGGCTCTGGAGACAAACCTGTGTCGGTGAGCTAATATCAGAGTAAAGAGTGTGGACTATTATCCCGGCTAACCTCCAGTGTCTAAGTGGAACCATTGATATTAGCCTTAGGACCCTTCTCTGAGAGGAAAAGGAGTGGTAATTGGGGGTTCCGATGTGGACGTCTATCCTAAAGCGGTGTGTGTATATGTGTTCGTGTGCATATGTGTATATGCAGTAAGATTATTGAGAAAGTTAAAGTTTACGTGCCGTTAATTTTATTTATTTATTTATTTATTTATTAGCATATAATGTATTATTTGTTTCAGGGCTACAGGTCTATAATTCATCAGTCTTGCACAATACACAGCGCTCCCCACAACACATACCCTCCCCAGTGTCCATCACCCAGCCATTCCATCCCTCCCACCCCCCTCCACTCCAGCAACCCTCAGTTTGTTTCCTGAGATTAAGAGTCTCTTATGGTGCTGTTAATTTCTTTACTGGACGAGTAATTACTTAAATGTTTAGGTAATATTCTGTTACTTTTCTCCATAGTTTAACTTAAACATTTGAGAGAACTGCCTGGGAGGTTTTTTTTTCCTCCCACCCTCCCTCTTCTCTTTCTCCATATCTATGAAATTTTACAGAGTATGTGCTTCATCCAAAAATCTTATGTCTGGTGACAATTGAGTTTTGATTTGCTTAACAAATTGTATCACCAGTACAGAGTACTGTGGATCTGGTTAAAAGATCGATGAATTTTAGGCTTATGTTTTATAAACATGGCAACAGGTTACAGACTCTTTCATTGTTTGTAGCTTGATCTTTGTATTATAGGCTTGCTAAGGTGAAATGAGCCTAGTTGGTTTCTGTCTTAAAATGGTAAGGAGTAGAAAGGAGTAGAAAGTTAGTCTATCTGGTCAGAATTTTGCTTCTCCTTTTCAAATAATCATTCAGTGATGAGATTCTCTTGCCAAGTTTGGCAGCTATTAGAAGTGGTTATGAACAATGTCCTAAATGTGTTGAAGGAAAAATTTGAAGAACAAACAAATAAGTTTGTGGTTTTATTTTTTTTTAAAGATTTTATTTATTTATTTGAGACAGAGAGAATGAGAGAGAGAGAGCACATGAGAGGGGGGAGGGTCAGAGGGAGAAGCAGGCTCCCTGCCGAGCAGAGAGCCCGATGTGGGACTCGATCCCGGGACTCCAGGATCATGACCCGAGCCGAAGGCAGTCGCTTAACCAACTGAGCCACCCAGGCGCCCCCAGTTTGTGGTTTTAAAGATTTTGGAGCTGTCGTGTTTCTTTCTTTGCAGTGGTTAAAACTCAACATGATGGAGGCGACTGGGTGGCTCAGTTGGTTAAGCGTCTGCCTTCCACTCAGGTCTGATCTCCAGGACGGGGTCTTGGGATTGAGCCCTGCCAGGCTCCCTGCTCAGTGGGTCTGCTTCTTCCTCTCCCTCTGTGTATCCCCGCCCCCCCCCCCCACTCTCTCTCTCTCTCAAATAAATAAAATCTTAAAAAACAAACAAACAATAACAACTCACCATTAGGGCATGTTTCAAACAGCAGCAATTCCAGTGAGGCTTCTTTTTTTTGTAGTGTGAGAGAGCAAGGACTTAGTTAAAGTAGGAAAATTCAGGAAGTTCATTGTAAATTATTCATAATATAATGATTAATTATTACTATGTGATGATTAATAATGATGATTTTGGAACTCACTTAACAAGTCATGTTTTTTGGAGATAAGTTTCACAGGCCTCCATGGCCGTACAAGCATAAAGGTTTATAATTCCAGTGTGTAAAATGGGCTTGGTGGTGAAACAATTTGATAAGAATGTCTTTACATCTTTACAGTGGCAGGAAAACCCTTATAGATAACAGAGCACAGTGAAATTTAATTTTCTTGTGCCATTTGCTTTAGTGGGAGTCATCAGTGAACCCAAGGTCTTTGTTTACTAGATTGTATTCTGTTTTATGGTCCATACCAGTTAAAGGTTTTACAGCAGAATGAATCTCCATGGAATTATCCTGGGTGAAAGCAGCCAATCCCAAAGGTTACATATTGTATGAATTTATTTATATAACATTATTGAAATGACAAATTATAAATATGGAGAACAGATTCCTGGTTGCCAAGAGTTACAAGAAAGGGGGAGGGGAGTAGGAGGGAATTGGGATGGCTATAACATAGCAACATGAGGGATTTTTGTGGTGATGGAAATGTTTTGTATCTTGACTGTATCAATATCAATATCTGGTTGGGATATTGTATTATAGTGTTGCAAGATGTTACCACTGGGGAAAACTGGGGATATGGTACAAGAGATTTTTCTGTATTGTATCTTCCAATTATATGTGAACCTACAATTATCTTAAATAAAAAATTTACTTTTAAAAAAGTTTTACAGTACAGCATCTTAAGCAACAGAGTACCTTTAGGCCAAATTATTTGCTTTATAGTTTTTCTTAAAGAAAGCTGATTATACTCTTTTTAAAAAGCTGGTTATACCGTTAAGTGAAAACTACTATTTCTGATTTCAAATTTTCCTTTTTCTGTTTTGATAGGGATTATATGACACATTTCTCTCTGATCTTTTTCCTCCAAGGGAATAGGACAACAGAGCTATCTAGTTAGTCTTCCTAATGGCAGGTGTAATGGAATTGACTGCTTTGACTGAAAAGAGAAGAGGCCTTCAGTTGCGGGTGGAGTTAGTCAGGGGCTCTAGTATAGACTTTCCTGGCATCAGTTCACCACGTGTAAGAATGCTCTAAGTGTCCTACAAAGTTTACACAAAGTAACCAGTAACTGCTCTGGCCTGGCAACTCTGTATTATTTCTGCTTGTTGCAGAAGCTCACTGGCTGTTCTGGAATGCTGGTCCTACCTGGTCCCTAGGGATGTGCCAAGCACTCCTAGCTGCTGGATATTCCTCCTCCCCGCCCCCCACCCCTTGCCACTAGGCACCTTAATTATTGAGCCTAATACAGTGCCTGGTACATAGTAGGCCTTCAAAGCACATGATCTCTTTCTTTTCCATGTCTCTGCTTTTCATTCTACCAACCCTCAAGAAGAGCCTACTTGTAACTTAGGTGTGAAAAGGATATAGAATTTTGAAGTGAATTTAAGTGTAGTAAAGAAACAGTGCTATCAACTGCTAAAGTGTATGAAGTAACATTCATGATGGATTAAATGTTAGCATTTTTCCTATTTTATTGACTAATAATATAGTGAATTCAGAAAGTAGTTGAATATATACCAGTCAGAATGGAGGGGTGAAAGAGAAACAAGTTGGGGGCACCTGGGTGGCTCAGTCGTTAAGCATCTGCCTTTGGCTCAGGTCATGATCCCAGAATCCTGGGATAGAGCCCCACATTGGGTTCCCTGCCAGCGGGGAGCCTGCTTCTCCCTCTCCAGCTCCCCCCCTGCTTGTGTTCCCTCTCTCAGTCTGTCTCTGTCAAATAAATAAATAAAAAATCTTAAAAAAAAAAAAAAAGAGAAACAAGTTGTTACTGTCAAGAAACTTACAGTTTCATAGGTATGAGAGATAGAGGAACAGGTAACTAAACAGTGGTTGCAACCTCAAATGGGGACTGGAGCCAGGCAGGCACCTTGAGTGAGTGAAATTGGAGGGAGTAAGAAAAACAGGGATGATGGTAAATAAATCACAGCAGTGTCGTAGATTACAACTGCCTCAGTTTTGGGAAGGCCACAAGGAAAGGGATCCGTAATGTGGTCCCTGCTATTCACTTCCATACCCACCTGGTAACAGTGACCTATTCTTTTCAAGAGTAGTAAGAAATCTGGATTTTTAGACATAACCTCTGACTTTTCAAAGGTCACATTTAATTAAAAGTTTTGTTTCAGTACCATGAGCCGAACAGAAAAGAATGTTCCATGATACAGAGAGGTATAGGAAGGAACCCTCAGTCAAGATGAGGGGTCAGGGAAGGTTTTCATGAATTCAGTGACGTTGAGCTGACTTTGAAGTGAAAGAACAGTTAGAAGTTTGGTAGGTAGAGAGTCGGTGGTAGAGAGGGAAAGGC